AGAGAGAGAGAGAGAGAGAGAGAGAGAGAGAGAGAGAGAGAGAGAGAGAGAGAGAGAGAGATGTATATAAACCGCAAAGGTTTTACATTTTGTAAAACTGCGAGCAGTGTAGCCAGAAATATTTAGTTTACGCATTTTTGTTAAAATAAAAATTACTTTACGCCTACAAACACGTGGGAGAATTGTCTTAACCGACATAATTAAATAAAATCCCTACATAATCAATGATATTTTACATATTCTCAGAAACCTCTAAAATAAAGATACAGTCCACACAACATTTACTAGTTAATATAATTTGTGACATTAACAAAACAATGCGAAAAGTGGGCAAAAGTATAGAAGCAACAAGTATTTGTACGATTCTTATGACGAACTATTTATAGTACAGTTTGTAACGTAAACACATTACTTTATTGCTCTGTACGAATTAGGAAACATCAAATTTCCACTAAAGTAGTTTTAAAAATGGCTCGAATAGAGGAACTGAAGAAGATCCCACTTCGAATAACTAATAATTTAGTTAATTTAACGCTTAGAAGAGTTGCAATAATTATAAAATCAAAAGGAAAACCCACGAAGGAAGTATTATATACTTGAAAATTAATGTACATTTTTTTTTTTAATGAATTTTCAAAAATTAAACAGTTGTGCGAATACTTATTGCTTCAATGTTTCTATCGATTAAGTGTTTTTTTTTTTTTGTAATTTCGTAACTTACATAAGTAGCTATTTCTTTTTCTCAATCTATTCTAGAGATTTCCGAGAATATGTAAAATTTCATTGTTTATAAAAAAAAAATATATTGAAACAACTTTTTCCTTAGCGAAAATGTTGTCCGTGGCTTCGTTAAGGAGATATTAAGATAAAAGCTTGACCAATCAGAGCACGCGTATACCGTTGGAACGGTCGCGGTAGCGAAGGCTACGAGCTAAGCGGCCGCGCTTGTACGCGAACAAGTGACTCAACGTGTTTTCCGTTAATATCTCCTCAACGAAGCCTCGGACAACATTTTCGCTAAGAAAAAAGTTGTTTGAAATCACCTCCTGAACCACTCCTTTCAAGGTGTTACAACATTTTTGAGACACCCTGTATGTATACATGTCAAATTGAGTAACCTCCTCCTTTTCGAAGTCGGTTAAAAAAATAAGTTAATAAACTACAATTTTACATAGTTTTTTTGGAAATTGATCGGTGTACGAGTACTTTCTACACCCACTGTATCAATCCATATAAAAATTGGACATTCTATATTCCACGAACCAACAAATTATTAATATCAGATTACACGTCCTTCAAAACAAATTAAAATTGATCTCATACATCACGTATATCCTATCTCCAAAAGTATCCAACATTTACCTGATCAGGACTTTGGCTATCGATGAATCGCAACTCGACGTCGCATTGCAGTCTTTCTTCCAAGCGTGATCTCTTTCTCTTCGATCCACCGGTGGTAGCAGTGTTTTGCGTTCCCTCGGTCCGTTGTCGTCGCGGAGATGCTTCTACCGACGCAACGCCTCCGCTCTCCTCCTCCGAGAACATTCGCATTTCGCGTTCCTCCAGATCGAAGTTGAGCTGTATCTCCGATAAATCCAAGGGCGATGCCGCGTTCGGAGCGTCCGCCAAATGGTCGAAATACGAGTCGTGGGAGACCGACCGACTGTGCCCACAGGGTCTGGGCGGCGGTGGTCCTAGTAGAGGACCAAGACCGTCCTCGCCGTCCAAACTATCAGCACTTTTCACGGGTCTTAACCGTCGTAAGGAGTTTAAGGAACTTGGCACCGTTTCTGTTTGGGGTGGCGTGCCAACTTGTCTCGGTTTTCCTCTGGCACCCAAGCCACCTCTACCGAACAAAGCTCTCCAGTTCAACGAGGGTGAACGTTTCGAGCCATTTCTTTTCCGTGGCAACTCTATGACCGTGTGGTACTGTAATGGTAACCCAGCTGGGCCGGCGCCCACTTCTATATAATCCGGTTCCCCTCTCAGACTTCTGTTTCGAGCCTCCTCCAGGCTGAGCAATCTCGCGGGCGTCGTGATCGCCAATGATTTTGGCCTACCGACCGGACCGTCCCCGAAAATTAATTCCGCGTAACAAACTAAAAACTCCGTAACAACTGCTTGTACGCCGACGCCCTGCAAGGCCGCTACGCCGCCGACTTCCAGTTCTTTGCACCTCAGGAGATTCGGTGCCCAGACAATGGCTACGTTCCGTGGCGTCATACCGGTCTCCGCACCGCGCGCTGCGACTCTCACTAAGTGGCGCATAAGATACTCTAAGGTTCTGAAAAAAGACGATATTTAACAATTAACTGTTGGCCTGCTTATAAATAGGATAACTTAGGGCTATGTATTCTGTATCAGTATTGTTCCATAATTTGGTAGCGCTTTTATTTTCATTTTTATCTTCCTACGGTTTGGGCTGTTATTTGGCAAAGTGTGCACACTGCTCAAAATCATTGTTATTATTCTACAAGCTTACGTTCATAGTTTTTTTAAATAATCACATTTGTTTCAAATTTCAAGCTTCTAAAATGGACTTTCCAGACCGTAAAAGTAATCATTTTCGACATCTGTTCTTTCCATTTTATTAGGATCAAGCTCGGCGATTTTTGGCAAAATCACATGAACAAATTAGTTGGTAGATAGGAGAAAATCGTAAACAACGACGAAGAGTATATAATTACTGGTATGGTATTATAATATTGTAGTTTACAATAATTAATCTAGGCTGTAACTATACTGTATACCAGTAATTCCCAAAGTGGGCGCCACTACCCCCTAGTGGGTCCTGCAGCGATTAAAGGGGACGCTGATGGCCAATGTAGGCTGTAATTCAAAAGTTCTTAATTGTATTTCCTTCGTCATATTTAGTGAAACGTGGATTCAGTGCGGTAACCAATTTATTAACAAAAAAAAAGAAACCAATTGTAAATAAACAATCGCGGTGATTTAAGAATACTGCTGGCGAAAATAGAGCCGAGGATTACTACATTGTTAGCAGCACACCAGGTTCATCCTTCTCATTAAGATGATTTCCAATGTTTTAACTTCGTTTTGTATTACATTCTATTCCGAGTTCAATAAATAGTTTCATAATTTCAAAGTTCAATGTTTCTAATTTACACCTTCCTTTACTATATTTTACGAAAAAGGTAGAAACATTAATACATATATATTTCGTATTAATTGTTATTAAAATATGAAAAAAAATTAATTTCCAGGCGGCGCAAAGTAATATTTTTTCTGGAAAGGGGGAGGGGTAGGACAAAAAAGTTTGGGAACCACTGCTATATACTGTATACTGTAACTAGGACTGTACAAAGACAACCAACAATACAGTTCCATAAATTCCAGGAGGTGAACACTGAAAAAGCCTACAAATAGACTCTCGATAAATAAAGTGTGAATGGTTAACCCTCAGGTGTTGAGTTTAATTTAAGCAGTTTATATGTAAAAATATGAGAATTGAAATTGGTAAAGCCGTATACAGGGTGTTCAAAAAAAAGCATTCAATATTTATATGGTGTATAGGGTACACTGTACTGAGTAAAAAAGCTTTAGTAAACATAGGTCCAAAGGTCAACCGTTTCTGAGATATAAACATTTTTGTTTGCTAGTATCATGATTGACTTATTTGTTTCCATCGCATGTGATGTTTATGTCAGTGTTTATAAATTGCGTTCTGAATGTTTCCATTCAAGCGCCGACACTTTCGTCAATTTCATTTTTTCAATTTCGTGTACAGAAATGAGCGGTGGACACGTGGAAAATCTTCTATAAATATCGAAAATCCAGTAGTAAGTCAATTATGATACTAGCAAACAAAAATGTTTATATCTCAGAAATGGTTGACCTTTGGACCTATGTTTACTAAAGCTTTTTTACTCAGTACAGTATGCCTTACACACCATATAAATATTGAATGCTTTTTTTTTTTAACATCGTGTATAATCAAGAGGACAGAAAGTTTTTTAAATGAAGAGGACTCTGGTGTCCTGATGATGAAAATTGTTAGTCGAATCGGAATAATACATTCCTATATATTTTTACCTATAGTGAGGTGGTGGTAATTTCCTAACGGTGTCCCTCATCCGCCTTAACCTCTCTGCATCGGTGTTGGCCTGAACTGCGCTTACGAAAGTAGAATAAAGTTGGTATGTACAAAGTGGATTCGGTAGTTCCCTGAAGTACATTTTCAATAACGACGCCACCGAATGAATGTCTTGTAGAATACTTTCATCGGAATGCAATGCAGGAACACGATCCTCGTCGAACGCGTTTCGTAATCTCTGAATGTTCGATGTCACGCCGCTTAGACGGTATATGCCATCAACCAAGCCGTGATTCTCGATGAACTCGGCGCAGCACGTTAAAACAGTGGGCACTGAAACAATAGTGACACGATATTAGAAGATCAATGGATTTTAGAGAAGTTTGCAAAATTGGTTCTTTCCAATTGCAATATCCTTTAGACACTTTCGTATACACGACACTGCACGTCCGTACTCAACTCGAAGATTATTAATCGGTTGTGTAAACTTGTATTTTATAGTGATAGTTAGTTGAAAATTAGTTAGCGTGGCAACTTGAGATTAAATTGATATTTGGAGCGTCGAATGTTTGGCACTTCTTTTTAATTAAAGACAAAAGATACAGATAATAAAATTAAAAGTATTAGTATTTTTCTTAGTATTCATGAAGACGAATACTACTGTAACATTGCTTTGATTGATGATAAATATTACTACAACACCTAAAATACCAATGACTTGGCATAAATGGAACAGTATCAAGTAATTCTAGCTCTACCTGACATCATAAATATTACTTTGCTACAATTAACTCGTGGACTACACTTTGTCCATTCTGGTGTACATATGTGTCCAGATGTATTAACCCTTTGCGGTCGTATTAAATTTAGGCATGGCTATTGTACTGGTTGGAATTCATTTTCGAGGAACGAGCAGTGATACATAATATGCAAGCTTATGAAGTATAAACAAGATTTATTAATTCTTTTGTGGACTTTAGATATATGTTTACACAATAATGTGTTTTAATGTAACGTTTTTATGTAAAAATTATATTTTATAGTTCTCCATCATGTGGTATCTTTCGGTAACTTCTTCTTGCCATTTTGGAGTATTGTTTTGTGGAATATTTTAAGAAACCAGAATGCCTAATTACACTTAAACACAATTTGTAAAATATTATTTGGTATTCTACCAAGTATTTTCGACTATTTGGTATTTATTACAATTTATTACAGAAAAAATAACAATGTTCAATATATTTGTTTTTGAAAACTTTAACATGTAGATATTTCACCCACTGGTTCATATATTCTTGTATAACTTAATATAATTACTAACGATCTTCTCATTAATCTTTCCATTAATCTATTATTACACTAATATCTTAGAATCTATTAATATTGTCTAATGGCTTAAATCTTTTCAGTTTGCGAAATACAATATAAGATTAGTATGGTTCTTTGTTGTGGTGGTTGAGAGCAGACATATAACCGGAATGGTAAAAAAAGTTTTGGTGGTTGAGAGTAGACATATGACCGCAAAGGGTTAAACAATTGGAAAGCACTCTATAATATACGTACCATCTTGACCAGAGTTCAAGAGATGTTCCCCTAAATCACAACCAAATACGCGTTCCCTCAAGATTCCTGACTGTTTCAATCGCCTCCTTGACGGCCTGTTCAGTATAAACGACCTGAAAAAGGCGATTAGTTTCCCGTGTTTTCTAAGCACTGGTTTCACGGGTAACTTCGACCTGACAGTCGTCGACACGGTCAGATGTCGTGGAACTTTGTCCCCAATTACAGCCACGCATTCGGCTGGAAAGAACCCAACAGCGAAGCCATGCTTTCCACGCCACCATGTGCTTTCCCCTGGCGGAGGCATGTCTATTACAGAAATCATGTCTCCAACCTGTAATCAACCAATGCGTTTATGTTAAATTGCTGCCAATATTTCTACATATACTACATAATACACTGCTCAAAATAATGGAAGATCAGTCACTCAAGTGATATATTACTCATAGGTTCAACACACTATATAAATCAGACATTCATTAGAAGAATTACTGCCATATGGGGTTACTTGCATTATTTCGTTACTTAGCCGATTTTTCTGGTTTTCTGGTTTGTGCGTTAATTTTAGAGCGTAGATATCATAGTACCTTGTTTACTGTGACATTAATAAACGGTAACAAAGAAAATTGAGCTATTTCCAAATTATTTTTGATAACTATAACATTTGTCTTCTTATTCGAGAAAAGATTCAGTGCAAATCGTCACTTATAATTGCTAAAATGATTACACATAATTTGTTTACTTATGATATTATAAAACTACATATTGTCCTTAAAATCATTCATTGTTTTTCCGTGAAATATTTATTTTTGTTATATGCTGCAAGTATTGGATACTTGTAACACTGATTTCTTTTTCATTTATATATAATGCAATATATTAACATTTAATTATCGTCGGAACACAGTTCTTTGTCCAAAAGGATCTGGGGGAACCAAATTATTTCATAGAAATACTTCAGTAGGCCATTTAAACGCTTTCAAACAATCATACTTGCTATATTAACCAAAATAAATATCTATTACAAGCACACCTACGTTATTATCTCCCAGAGAAAAACTGTAACAGATACAACTTTCAACTTTGTGTATTTCTATCCTAAACTTATAAGCGCAATAATATTGTACCTATTCATTTTTGTTACAGCCGTGCAATGCATGTGTAGCGGTGGTAGCCATATCGCTGGCTCCCCCTACAATTTCTAGTTGTACGTTTCTTGTAACAGAGAGAACGAAGTCTCTGAGTTCCTTTATGTATATTAACAATTATACTACATATATTACATCAACATAAACCTCTGTGTCACTTTATTCCACTCGCGCCTCGATTCCTGCCATCAATTTTTCATCTAAATATCTTCGATATCATAATAAAGTGAAAAAGTGTTGTAAGTAACGCTATTTGACAGTAAGGGAGTGGACTCCCGTGCCTTGTATGTTAGTACGCACTCACACAGCTCCACACCACTGTATACATATACGGAACTCCAAGGGCTTGCGTTCTGTCCTATTTTTGTCTCGACAATGCAAATTTGAGATCTCTCAATAGCCGTTTTCGTTAGATAAATGTTTAAACTTGTGCGCAAGCTCCTATAGGTAGTCTACTTTTGCTTTTTTGTGTCATAATTAACAATATTCAGTAGGGTGTGTCAGCTCAGACAACGCGACAGCACTATCGTCCCACTATATTGCTTCTTTTGATTGCGAAATAGTGCTGAATATTATTAATTATGAGACAAGAAAGCAAAAGTAGACTACCTATAGGAGCTTGCGCACAAGTTTGAACATTTATCTAGCGAAAACGACTATTGAGAGATCTCAAATTTGCATTGTCGAGACAAAAATAGGACAGAACGCAAGTCCTTGGAGTTCCGTATACGTATACAGTGGTGTGGAGCTGTGTGAGTGCGTACTTGACATACAAGGCACGGGAGTCCACTCCCTTAAACGTTACCTATAACTCTTGAAATTCAGTTCAATCCACGGAATTGTCCAGTACCACGATCCTCTAATTACCTTGACCAGTGTTATATCATCCTTTTGTAGATTTTGAAACTAAAAGCTCACCTGAAAGGAAATCTCGTCCGGTGCCTGAGCCACGTAAGGTCTCACTGCGTAAGCCGCCGCTACCGCAGGGGTGTTAATAGGGCATGAATCTGACTCTGGCACGAGAATTCTTCTTCCTCTATTATCTAGCTGCAACCAATTTAACACAGGACCGCAATTTAGGCCTTCATGATTTAACTGCGAGAACCTAGTCAAATAGTCCCTCAGTATATCACAGGTGGTTTTTGGCCGTGCATCTGGAAGCTTGGTTAAGGAAGAGAACTTCCTGTCAAATATGCAACGATGCAATTGCTTGTCAAACATAACAAAATTATCATAAGATCGTTGTAGGGTCCAGCATGCATCTCCGGACGTTACTCTAACCGCGTAGCTGTCTGAATCATTCGTACCATCGCTCAGTGAAACCTGCAAGCATATAATTTTTATTTTTACTTACACACGACATGCAATACAACTGTAACGTATTACAACAAACGTTCCATTCTTTTTCTTTTATATTGATCAATTCGTTATTCGCGTTTGACGTAGAACAAGTCTGAATTGAACACAATGGCAGACGAAAGAATATTTAAAACTGGCGTAAGTTGGCACTGTTGATGTTTTATGAGATATTCTCCGCGCGTCATAAATAGTAGTTTATTTATACAACTGTGTCTACGTGAAATGTGACTAATATTTTTTTTATGATGTCTGCAGAGGTGAAATGTAAGTTTAATATTTTTTTGAAACAGAATAATAGTATTATATTATTATTTGCCATACATGAACAGGAATGATAAAAGATTCACGAATATTAGAGATGAACAAACATTTTAATTAATTAACATTTAAGGAAAATGATAATATATGGAAGCAGAAAAGAAAATGAAATGAAATAATTTGTGAAATAAAAATAGATATCTCGTTTGTTGACCATGATTGATAATGATGGAGAAACATACAAAATATTATAATACTTCTTTAAATATAGAAAACATAATCATAGGAACTTGCTATTAATCTTACTTTAGTTCATCTAATTTCTTCGGTTGTTGCATTACTTTAAATATAATTCCAACTATTTCATTCAAATACTTAATTTCTAAACTTGATTACATCGTACGATATTTGTAGTTACGAAAAATTCATTGCTGTTGCAATACATAATTTCAGTTTGTAAAGTTTAGTGTTCTTTTGTCCACCACTGTAAATAAACTGATAATGTATTCGATAGAACGAGAAATTACAGAAATTTACGAATAATCAAATATATAATCAAAGATGCAACAAAAAGGAATTTTGAGATTCGACCAAACTTTAAGCAGAAAAATGCTAATTTTATTGTGCTCTTTTCATCCTTGTCTACTATTTTTTCTACTATTCTTACAAACTATTCAAGAAGCAAGTTTTGAAGTTTGAAGTGGTATAGATAAGAATAATAAATTATGACCAACCTCCAAAGGGCAGAGTTCAACGTGTTCGTAATGAAAGTGGGCACACTCGTCCAACTTTGGAAATCGTGCTATACTGCCCATGTTGCTGCCAGAACTGACTGGTGTACTAAAATCGTCCGTTCGGTTACATCCTAATCCCTGTGTTAAACAGAAATTTAATCATCTTAGATTACATAATACTCGTTAATGCGTCGATGATTAATACACATCCCGTTGATGATTAATACAGATCGCATCGATGGAGGTTTCAACGATAAACATAAGAAATATAAAATTGCAAGTAGTGGAATATTTTAACAACTAATTTACAATAAGTGAGTATTAAGAGAAATAAATACTATATATTACAAGTTATTTATTAAAATATTTTATCAAATTCAATTTTACATTTCTTGATACAATTCTTATAAAAAACATTCTTTGCCACCGAGGAATGCTGCAAATAAAGTTCCGAAACGTTCCAATCAACTTTACACTTGGTCGATCACGAACAACTTCCGTTTGCAACGAAAAAATGCTCAAGGATACCAAGTAGTATAAAAATTCCAAAAAGTTTCCATGAATTTATTCTGGAATGCATGACTTTATTACGGCCACGCCCCCCCCCCCCCAGCCCCCCATAAAACAGTCCATCCTTGATGCGCTAGCACGTTCTTCCATCGAAGAAAAGAGTTCGGAATAAAAAATTCCATCAAAACGTTTTCCGCGCCATAACACGCAGATTTATTGCTAAATGAGACGTGTTTGTATTAACGAAATCAACGCTCGTATTTTTAACCTACTTTCAGTGGAAGCCTCTCCGTGAAAAATTTACGAACCTCAACACGCAGTGACGAAATAATTTTTTGGAAAAAAAAATATAACCGCCTCCGAAAAATATTGAAACTCCACTAAAAAGTATGAAATAATTAATTTAGCGACGCCTTCGAAAAGGTTATTTAATATAATTTAATGTAAATAAAATAGAAATTTAATATATTATTTAACATAATTTAATATAAGGGAAATAGGAATTATTTCATACTTTTTAGTGGAGTTTTAATATTTTTTCGAAAACGGTTATATTTTATTTTACAAAATCATTTTATTTCACACTTTTTAATGGTAATCTATAACCAATAGGCTTCATGCAGCAACAATAGTTGTGAAGAATATATAGTTGCAAAAGGGATCATCAGGAATACATGTGCAACTAAATGTGAAAGGATTCATCGCGTTTAGTAAATTCCTTGTCGAACTAGGAATAGAGAATTTTGCATCACTAATGGTTTTAAACAATAAAAGTGTCCATCAATTTTTGCAAATAGGAACGTCACGAAAATATTTGCTACTAAATATGAAAGGTTTCATCGGGGTCGGTTAATTTCTTGGCGAGTTACATTAAAGAATAGAAATTTTGCTGTAAAAATTGTTATAAATATTAAGAAATTCATAAATTTTTGCAAATGTGGTCATCTCGAAATCCTGTCCGGCAGCAAAATATAAGGAGCTTCATCGATTTCATCGATTTTATGCAGAACATATGTGAAATTGTACACTTTTCGCGATATTTATATAAAAAAAATTGGTTAAAAAATGACAAATCGCAAAAGATCCTGATAACGGGACCAACTGGGAGACATTAAGCTCTCATTAGAATTTTGAAATTTTCTAAAAAAAATGTTTCGGACTTGGAAATTAAACTTCAACTGCCTACAGTTTTTTTTATTTTTAAGTTTACCACTAAATGCCATTAGAACTTTCGATAGTAATGTAGGAGTCTAAACGAAAAATAAGGCACGGAGATTCGAACCCACAATTCCTCGGATCCACAGTCGACCGCTTTACCTACGCGACCAATCCCGTACCCTACGTTTCGTGTTCTTATTTGACTCCTTATTGTTGGATATGGGAGGCGCGGATACTACAGTACTCTTTTGGGTGCCAATGGAACTTATGGAACTCCCATCAGAACTTTGGAATTTTCAAACAATTTTTGTTCTAAATTGGAACTTTGCTAAAAAATTTCAACAGCTCACAGCTTTTTTATTGTTGAATTGGCGGCTAAAAGCCATTAGAACGTTCGATAGTACTGTACGAAAAGATTAGGTATTTTGTATAAGTGAGAAATCAACAAGAAAAAACAATAAATCGATAGAAATACAGAAGCAATAAGTACTCCTACAAGTGTTCAATTTTTAAAACTTCATGTAAAAAAAAACGAAATTTACATTAATTTATAAATAATTAATATTTCTTGGGATTTCTTTTTAATTTTAAATTTACTGCAACTCTTCTAGGCATTAAAGTAACAACTATCATAAATGTCGATGTTATTCGGAGTAGGATCTTCTTTCATTCCTTTATTAAAGCATTTTTTAAGTCCTTTTTACTGGAAATTTAATGTTTTCTAATTCCCATGAAGCAATAAACTGATGTGCTTATGTTGCAAATTCTACTGTAAATTGTTCGTCATAAGAACCGTGCGAATACTTATTGGTTTAATATTTCTACCGATTTTTCGTATTTTCTCGTTAATTTTGCAAATTATATAAACTAGTAATTGTTGTTTCAACTATATTCTAGAGATTTCCGAGAACATGTAGAATATCATTGATTATAAAAAAAAGTTGTTAACGAAACTACAATTTCACACAATTTCAATTTTTGGGAAATTGATCGATGTACGAATACATTCTACACTCACTGTACGTTCAGAGAATCAAGAAGCTAAACTCGGTGAATTAACTATACGGGTTCCGAAAAAAAAAATCGGACGTCAGCCAATCCTTTCATACTTGTACAAGGGACTTCCTCTTTAACTGTCGAGAGAAGTGGTAGAGTAGGTTTTCAATAATAAGAGCACTATCAATTATCTTATTTGTTCAACAAGCTTACGTTGTCATTGTTTTCGAATGCCCTGACCTACGAATATACCAAATAGAACGTGAAAGTGGCTAATTACTTTTATGCAGAGCTGTAAATTCTTAATTACGATTACAAAACGATTACTTGACCAAGTAATTGAATAATTCCCATTACAATTACTCTGTCGCATGTAATGGTATTTCCGATTACTTGATTACTACCAGTAATCCCATGCATTACTTAATAATTACTTATAACGGTCCAGAAAATAATTAAAAGGCGTCTGAAATCTAAAGTAGTCAAAAATACCTAAAAGTAATTAAAGAGTAATTATAACTACTTTTTTAATTATTTTCAAGTAATTGCAGTGACATGAACAGCAATTGTTAAAAGTAATGTTTACTGTCTTCCAATTATTTGTAATTACTTTGAATTACTTTTGCCACCGGAAAGTAATTAGAAGTCAGTAATCATTACTTTTAACAATTACTGTCCATGTAACTGCAATTACTTGAAAGTAATTAAGAAAGTAGTTATAATTACTTTTAATTACTTTTAGGTATACTTAACTACTTTAGATTTGAGACGCCTTTTAAGTACTTTATGGGTAGTTATAAGTAATTATTAAAAAGTAATTGAATTACTCAGTAATTAAGAATAAGATATTGCATAATTACTAAAAAAAGAGTAATCAACAATTACTTAAATAATTACTTTCTAATTCCAAAGTAATTGTTCTAAATTGTAATAAATTCCAAAATAATAATTACTTTACAGCTTTGCTTTTATGTATTCTTCGGTTCCCCAGTCATTCTGAATTCTGAGAAATCTTTCTCTGACAATCATTACAATTTACGACACCCTAGGTGGTTTCCTGTACTGAAACAGGTAAAGTACATTCTGTATTTTGGATGGTTCTTCTTTTTGTTTACATTTGAATGTGATATTCATTTATTAGATGTAGAAATTAATTCCGCTTTTTTTATATTCAGTTAATTTATTGTAATGAATCTAGCGTATATTGCCTAACCTAACTCTTAACCTGATAAATAAACTGCGGATGTTTATGTAAATTCATATTTTTACAGATACAGAAAAAGAATTGAAACTTGAATGAAAGTATGTCTAATTTCTCAAACGTTATAACATATATATTATTATTGATATTTAATATATTTATATATTTGTGCACATTTACAAACATTTTCCTATACTTCGACTTGCCATTAATGCATAAACATTCGCAATCTGCTGATAATCAATGCAACGCAAATTTGTATATAAATTTTGGTAACCAACCATTTTATTTATTATTATTCTTCTAACAGATTGCAAGTGCACTTGATAATTATAATAATTGTGGAAGAACAGCAAGTTAAGACTAGGTTATGTGATATATTATAATAGAGATCAGGTTGAAAACTTTGAAGAGTGGTACTTTGATGTTGGAAAATAACGAAGAAGTAAACCTGTTTTAATTAGAGTCAGAAATTATTGAATATTAAGGCACAGAATTAATTTCTACACCTCGTGCATTTATTTTTACTTTTTATATTTGAATTACATTTGAATATCTTTTTATATTTGATTGTTGACTGGTTATCATTATGAAAATATGTTTCATCTCTTACCATTCTTTCAATAATAAATCCAAATTTTGAGAAATCCTTATATATTATAATATTACTGTTAGAGTAAGGCAATTTAAATTTGCTTTTGGCGCCAATCATAATTAGAAATAATGTATATATATATATATATATATATAATGTAGGTAAGTGAGGGCAGTACTATACAGGATGTAGTTACTAGTATGTGAGTGTGGTTGGTATCTGAGAGACTACCAACTATCGTTTGATATCAGTATGAGAGAATGTAGATAACACTTGTATTAAGTTTATTATTTTCTTTATTGTATTACTTTTACTTTAATTATTCAAAACCAAATATAATAATGAATATCTTTTAACATAAAGTTGAAGTAAGTTGAATATAATTATTTATGTATCATAAAGTTGAATGTAATTCTTGAAGTATCCAACAATTACATTCAAAACAATATTATATCATTCAATACAGTAAAATAAATTTAATTGGTATTTTACTTTGATTTGCACCGAAACAAAATTTTAATACCTTATAAATATAATATAATAAACTTGAATAATATTCTACATTTATGTGTACAGAATTATAGTTTTAGCCCATTAGAAATTTCCAGGAGTACCATGTTTGCCAACCAACACATTAACAAGATTCCATATAAGAAATTTCGACTTGTGAAGCCCACA